TATATATATATATATATATATATATATATAATTAATTAAGAAAAATTTTCTATTTTAAAATAAAATAAAAGTTATGATATACATCTGACTTGACCATATAATATTCAACAGAAGTTGAGTCTGATTCTTGAAAGCATTCATACATTGTGTTGCTTCTGTTCTATGAGACTGCTTTTCTGTTTTAATTAGGATCTAATATATAGGTGTATATACCATCACACAAAATAAATAAAATTAAAACATCTTTTCTAACACAACTACAGAGCAAGTTAATTGAGAACCATCTGATTATCCAAATTATAGAATTGTGCTTACCATTTGTAACTTTTACCAGAAACTCTTTTGAAAATTGGTAATCTTTACAAACTTGGAACTGAATGTTGGGATCATTAAAACATTCAGTTGTTCTTTTTTATTTATTTACTCTCACCCATAAAAATATAGGAAAACTGTTTGCTTTTATATTTTTAACTAAATTATAATTATGAGCTATTCATAATGTTTCTGTATAGGTTGAAGAACTTGATTATACAATTTCTATTGTTTGTAATGTGTTTGAAAACACATTAAAATGTTAGAATCTGATAGCAATATCATGCTCACATAATTACTTGTATTAGCTAAATTGGAATCAAGAGGTCAATATAGCAGAGTTAAGGACCTTGAAAATATGGGTAAAATTATCAAAGGTACGGTTTTGTACTCCATTTTGTTGACTGTTATGAACTTGCATCTTGTGTAATATTCTTAGTGGAAACTATGCATGTTCAGTGAAAATAATTTCGAGGACAGCTAGAGCCAAAATGTGGAGGAAGCTCAAATATTTTGCTTGAAAATGATTTATCCTAATAATAAAGAATTCTAGAATTTCATTATAAATTAAAATGTGTTTAATCATCAATCACAACAGTGGTTCATTATAGGGATTGCAAGGAATTGCACAAAACCCTAATAGAACATTCGAGCAAAAAAAGCACCTTAAACAGTAAAGATTCAGTTGAAACAACACTTTAAAACCTTCACTATCGACAATCTTCAACTGCCGCTTAACATTTTACATCTCAAACTAATACAATCAAATAGTCAATACCTACAGTAAATCATCATGAACTGTATAAGGTTAGCTACCACATAACGTAATCCTTTGCCCATAGTTGAGCTTAAAAAAAAGTCAGCAAACAAGATAAATAAGAAATTGGGAACTTAAAAGCCTGCAAATAGGGATCATAAAAAGTGTAAAGAAACAAAACTGGAGATACTGTAGACAGTATTTAATCAAACTACAAATCCCTATTTTGACTCCACCAAATATAATTCTGGGTAACAGCATGGAACCAAAATAGAGATTTGTAGTTTGAGTTAATAATGTCTACAGTATCTCCAGCCTTGTTTCCTTACTTTTAACAATCCCTACTTGCAGATTTTTAAATTCTAAAGATTGTATTTAATTTGTAAATGCTTTTATTTTCATTATAATTTGAGTTTTTTAAACTACTTTCCACAGGAAAATGTAATGCAAAATTTAGATTAGTATAATACTGTCTTAAATAATATGTATGTACAAATTACCTATTATATTCATTCCAGGAGACCTGCTTCCTGCAGATGGTATTCTAATCCAGAGTAATGACTTAAACGTTGATGAAAGCTCACTGACTGGAGAATCTGATCATGTGAAAAAAGGAGAAAAATTTGATCCTGTAATGTTTCAGGTAAAATGTAATTACCCACCTATATCCTGATAATGTCACCTTGTAAAGTAACATTTGTGTTATCTACCCTGATTGAGTTGACTTTATGTCATCTACCACAATTGTGTTGACTTTGCAAAAAATGTAACATGAAATACTTAACTAAAGTGAAACCTTTTAATAATAGAAATATATATATACATATATTGTAGAAAAAAGGGGAATATGTATATATATGCATACATACACACACATCTTTATTTATATTTATATATATGTATATGTTCCTGTTATATATATTTATAAACCTAATAGGACCTAGTAACAATTATTTTATGGGAATGTAAATATTCTGTAACTTCAGTAGGTTTTTGGTAGTTTATAATGATTAATAGGCTATATGTATTTAAAAAATAATATGATTCTTTGTTTATTAGACATGATACAGAGTTTTTTGTTCATCATATATTCCTGCCTATTTTCATCTTGTCAATGTAAAGAATTTAATAGGGTTGTTTTTATCATCATCAGGAACTCATATAATGGAGGGAAGTGGAAAAATGCTTGTGACAGCTGTTGGTATCAACTCACAAGCAGGGATTATCTTCACACTTCTGGGAGCTGCATCCACAGAGGGAAAGACACAGACTAAGCATGCCAAAAAAGGTCAGCTCTTTACTATAATGGTGTTATTGATTTTTGACTATGCCTAATGCAAATTTTAATGTTGCTAGATACAAGCTTAACTATTAGGTCTGTGTAGTTGCTAGAGGTAATTAATTCATTTTGTTTTTCCACTGTGTGCATCGATGCATGATTAAGAAATGTAATGCCTTTCTTTTTTTCTATTTTACATGAATACATGGAGATACCTAGAAACAATTTTTGTGGCTTACACTATTACTCCAAAGCAGGCATTCAACACTTTTCTACTAATAAAAAATGTAATGTTGACTATAGTAGAATATCCCTAATTACCAAGTGTATCATGATGTCAGATTAGCAGAAAAATATAAAAATTTCACATGTACAAAAAAGATCAATGAAATAAACTTATTCAGTTTATAATGACTCTAAATTAGAATGGTTTTTATTATAAATGAAATTGTTAAAATATATCATTAAAGAGTGTTAATGTGAGAATAGAAATAACTCAAAAGTTGCTTTATATTATTGATCACACAATAGGCAATAAAACGTGGCTCAAGAGTTGGTTTACACTACACTTTACACAAAAGACTACAAACCAAAGCTCATAAGTTGATTTACACTACAGTTTACACAAAAGACTATAAACCACAGCTCATAAGTTGATTTACATTACAGTTTACACAAAGACTATAAACCACAGCTCATAAGTTGATTTACATTACAGTTTACACAAAAGACTATAAACCACAGCTCATAAGTTGATTTACACTACAGTTTACGCAAAAGACTATAAACCACAGCTCATAAGTTGATTTACACTACAGTTTACGCAAAAGACTATAAACCACAGCTCAGGAGTTGGTTTATACCACAGATTACACAGAAGACTATAAACCATAGCTCAGGAGTTG